GGGGGCGGGGCGGGGCGAGGGGCGGGGCGGGGCTGCGGCGGCCAGATAACCGTCCTCAACTCACATTTAATGCGGTAGTGTTTCCCGTCCTCAGAACGCACCTGGTGTGGTAGTGTCTGCCCCGCTCACCTGGTGTTTGGTGTGGTAGAGGGTCGCGTAGTGTCTCTCCTCCTCACCTGGTGTTTGGTGTGGTAGAGGGTCGCGTAGTGTCTCTCCTCCTCACCTGGTGTTTGGTGTGGTAGAGGGTCGCGTAGTGTCTGCCCCGCTCACCTGGTGTTTGGTGTGGTAGAGGGTCGCGTAGTGTCTGCCCCGCTCACCTGGTGTTTGGTGTGGTAGAGGGTCGCGTAGTGTCTGCCCCGCTCACCTGGTGTTTGGTATGGTAGAGGTTCGCGTAGTGTCTCTCCTCCTCACCTGGTGTTTGGTGTGGTAGAGGTTCGCGTAGTGTCTCTCCTCCTCACCTGGTGTTTGGTGTGGTAGAGGGTCGCGTAGTGTCTGCCCCGCTCACCTGGTGTTTGGTGTGGTAGAGGTTCGCGTAGTGTCTCTCCTCCTCACCTGGTGTTTGGTGTGGTAGAGGGTCGCGTAGTGTCTGCCCCGCTCACCTGGTGTTTGGTGTGGTAGAAGAAGGTCGAGTAGTGTTTTCCGTAGTAGGTGACCACGCCGACCAGCCGGTGCTCCGTGGCGCCCGCCCACCGAGAGTCCAGCACAGAGTGGAACACGTCGCGCACTTTGAGCCGCGTGCCCACCGCTCCCAGCACGTGCATTATGTGCTCGAGCTGCGGCCGCTCAGAGTCCCAGACAATGCCGACCGAAACCACGTCCGGCCGACTCATCAGCGTGCGACAAATCTGGATGCGCGCGCCGCAGGAGCTCTGCCGGACGTCCCACAGACGTGTCAGAGGGCAGCGGGCTGATCTGGATCCGCGCGCCGCACCAACTCCGAGGGAGGTCACGGAGGCACAGAGGTCAGCGGTCAGCGGTGAGCGGTCAGCGGTCAGCGGTCAGAGGTCAGATCTAGAGTATCTCTCTCATATACCACTTTGCTGTTCAGAATTAGGTCTGTAGAAGGAGCTGGCTCGGTGAAGTCCTGTGATTGACTCAGTCGGCTACTCACCGGACAGTTTCGGACGTCGCCCATGCCGCCGGCCCGCTTCAGCAGCCGCCCGAACTCGCCGCCGGCCGGCCCGCCGCTCACCCCAGACGCCGCCGCCGGTGACGTCATCTCGCCCGTCTGTGACGTCAGAGCCGAGGCGCTGACGTAATGGACCATCTGCGGCGGCCGGCACAGCAGTCAGTGTGACGTCATCATACAGTGACGCAGCACGTCATCGCGCAGCGAGCTGAATTCGGCGCAACGCGAAAAAGGTGCAGCGCGAAAAAATCGACCACTGAAATTACCGACGGATGAAAAAGGTTACTTTCTTTGGGAGCAAAATGCGCCACGGTTCAGTTGCCGGTTCCACCCTCCGCTGACTACCCTGCACGTGGGCCCGGCTGGTGGCCAGGGTGGTGTAGTCAGGCGTATTTGGAAATTCCGACCTCGACGAGCATCCGTGGTAGAAAACCACCACTTTGGTAGGGGAAACTAGTGCTGTCTGCTACCATTTGCACTGCATGTGTCGCTATAGCTGTGACATCTATGCATATAGGGGAGAGCGGGGCCAGTTGAACCACTTTTTATATATTGACATGCAAAGCGAGATCTAGTTGTCATATCGAAAAATGCACAATGCCATGAAAAAATATGCTCTTTTGGCTTTATTTTTAGATATGTAAAATTATGTTTCAAACATATTTTGCTGCCAAACGCATGCTTATAAAACAGCTCTACGCCCTTTTCAAATGACCCCGATGCGAGAGTCAATTGAACCAGACCATGGGGTCAATTGCACCTATCCTTAACAATGGGATGTTTTCCTCTTTAAGGCCACTTTCTTAATGAGATATTTTGTCCGGTTTACTTTTCCAAATGCTACATTCAATAGGTCGTTGGAAAGCTAAAAGTGCAAAGTTCCTCATAATAGGTGAGATAAAGTACATAGACTATGGTAAAATGGGCGGATGAGAAAAATGAGAAATATCTCAGGCTATAGTGTGCTTTCAAGCAAAAGGCTGGAGAAAAAGGGTAAAAAATTGAGCTCTATTAAACTACTATTTCAGTTTAAAAGCTCATTTCAAAGGTGGACTATTTCCTTTAATGTTTACAGCCCCTGAACAATAACCATTGCAAAGGTCGCCGGGGTCCATTGAAACGGCCTGTGGCCCTGTTTCAACTGACCCTCAGAGAAGCGTTTCAATTGACCCCATCCGCTCCCGCCATCTCGCACGCGCCGTAAAGCACATGTCAAACGAGCTGGAGGGACGGCATCATGCTGAATGAAGGGCCAAATAAGGTGTTATTCCGGAGCCAGGAGTTCTTCTTTCAGCAAACAAAGGTATATGATATATCACAAAATATTCATAAGAACGATTTCTCCCAAACGCCCCTCAAAAACACAAAAACAAGTGTCAAATCAAAATTACCGTCCGTTTGCCGCCCAAACGCCGTTGACAAAGGAAGTGGTCGAGCGCGAATGCGCAGTGGTGTCGGCAACGCCATATGTTGCATACTGTTGAAAATAAAGCCATGTTTCATCTGACCCCGTGTTTCAACTGGCCCCGCTCTCCCCTACTGGTGTCCGAACAAAATGCCGAAAGGCGATTTGCCGAATGTCATTTTGCCGAATGCATTTCGCCGAATGTCATTTTGCCGATGTGCTTTTTGCCGACGTGTCAAAAAGTCGAAATGCTAAAAGTCGAAATGCCATTTGCCGACATGCCTTTTTGCCGAAATGCCAATTTGCCGAAATGCTTATTAGTCGAAATGTAAATTTGCCGAAATGTCGATTAGTCGAAATGTCAATTAGTCGAAATGTAAATTTGCCGAAATGCCAATTTGTCGAAATGTCAATTTGCCGAAATGTCACTTTGCCGAAATGTCAACTGGCCGAAATGTCAATCTGTCGAATTGGCAGTTTGCCGAAATCTCGATTAGTCGAAATGTAAATTTACCAAAATGTTAATTTACCGAAATGGTGATTAGTTGAAGAAATGTCAATCTGCAAACCTAGGTTAGGTTAGGTTAGGTTAGGTGGTATTTATTTACTTTATGACCGATCACCAATTACTTTTTGGTGCAATCCCGAAGTAAAAAGGAAATCACATGATATCCTTTGACCTCCTGATTTCATATCTACTAATTATTCATGGCACAAACAAGCAGGGCCTCGTCTAACATGTTAACTGGGGGGCAATTGCCTCCCCAGTCGAGCGGATTGCCCCCCCCCCCAGTGGCCAACATTTGCCCCCCAGTCAAAACGTGAACTTCTCACAAAATTACCTTCCCTGCAATACGTTTTTGTTAGGAGTCTTACATGGATTTAACGAGAAACATTATTTGTTCAAAAACTGTTCATACCTACTCCATGACTACGGGAAAAGCCAGAGTTTTATGATCTATAGAGCTGAGTACCTACTGTGATTCTGTGATTTTGCTACTGTGATTCAAGTAGCAAATTGTCAATTGGCAGCTGACCAGTGACCCAACTCGTGTTTGCGCCCCCCCCCCCCCCCCACTCAATCAAACGCCCAACATGGATAAGTATGCTTATCACTGTCTGGTGGGACAATGTGAGGGGGTAACACATTAATCTTAACTCTCGCCCGTATTGGTGTTTTTCCAGCCGCGAACGTATAGGGAGGGAGGGGGGGGGGCGTTGGACCTTGCCCCTTGCCGTTTCGCTCCTGATCGAGTTATAGAGCTTCGCGGAGAAAACCACCGTGCTGCCCGTCACGAGAGGAAGCCGATGATGCCTCATTTTAAGGTCGTAAGTCATCGGTTGACCTTCCAGGTCAGGTCAATGACCCAAAAGTCGGAAAACTCGCGGGACTTATTCCAACGTCGTAAAGGGTGGCTGTTATTTTTTGTCGGGGTGCTGATCACGAATATCATGTTAGTTATGATCATAGATAATGTCTTCATGCATTTAGGCCAGGTCGGGTCAGGTCAGGTCAGGTCAACCAGTAAGGGTTTTGCCGGGTATTCGTAGTAGGTGGCAACCGCCTCTGGCTCTGACAGCTTCAAAACATGTTACGAAGGCACCAAAACTACTTCGTAAATGTTCAAATGGTTGCTAAATTCGAATTCAGCTCCAAAAACTGGCCTAGAATCATGTAAAACTCGAAAAAGTGAACCGAAGTCATCAAAGGTCAATGACCTGACCAGACCTCCCGGTGACCTTGACGCCCACCCTAATGCATGGGAGCAATATCATATTCCATGTTTGAACGCTTGAAACCACGAAAAGACTGTAAACGCGCGGCTAATGCGAGCCGACATACGCCAAATCGCGATTCCGGTCAAATATGGTCTCGAAAAGTAGGTCACAGGTCAAAGGTCATTACGGTCAGGGTCATGACATTTTCAGAGTAGGTGTGAAATTGACTAACGCGAGGGTACTGAAAGTTTCGTCGCGGTCAGCCGCTTTTACGTGAGCTATTCTTGAAAAACCGAGGGGTCCGTTCGACCCTCCCCCCTATACGAGCATGGCTCGGAATGCCTTTTTTTGTTTTTTTGTTTAAAAAAAATCATGGTCTCAGGTGTGACGAAAAATAAGTGGCCTAAATCCGTTGAGAAAACAGGATTTGGGGTACCCTAGGTTTGGGTCCTTCAGTCTCTGCCCCCCCAGTGAAAATTCCTTAGACGAGGCCCTGCAAACAAGTTTGAAAGCACCAATACAGTATGAAAATTAACATCAAATTGCTCGTGGCGAAGCACTGCAGTGCCGAAGGCAATGCCTTAGGAGAGATTACAGGCAATGGTAAGTCAAATATTTTTAGGTTAAGTGGTTGCGCATCAGAAAATAATTGACTTATCATTGTCTGCAATCTATTCATGTGAGTAACTTCTTCCTTATCCACGGGTAGGCCAAAATCAGGTCAGGTTAGGATAGGGCCTTGAGGTTAGGTAAGGTTTGGTTATGTTTTTCTTATATTTTGGTGACATGTACCTAAAAAGGTACCTATATATCATATCGACACCTTTTTTTAAACCCCACATCTGCTCTCCCGTGAATTTCCGGGAGGCACGAAAGATCTCCTTTAAAAAGTGTCCAATCGTCCGATCCTGATCAAATATGTGTGTGCGTAGGCCTGTTCTGGTATTGCTTTATCTGCCAAGACAGACAAACTTGAGAAAAATCGAGTGATTGTACCATTTTTGAAGGTCTCTAACCAACTTGTCTGAAATTCACCGGAGAACAAATGTGGGGTTCAAAAAAAGGTGTCGATATCAGAATTTAAGAGCTCAAAAAATGGACGAATGTGTAAAATTTACCTTCAAAAGTGAGTCGGCCTTAAAGTTAATACTTACGGGTTAGGTTAGGTTAGGTTAATTTCGGCTAGTTGGCATTTCGGCAAATTGACATTTCGACTAATTGACTTTTCGGTAATTTGACATTTCGACTAATTGACTTTTCGGTAATTTGACATTTCGACTAATTGACATTTCGGCAAATTTACATTTCGGCGAATTGACATTTCGACTAATTGACTTTTCGACAAATTGACATTTCGATTAATTGACATTTCGGCAAATTAGCATTTCGGCAAATTGACATTTTCGACTTATTGCACGTTGGCAAAATGGCATGTCGGCAAATTGCATTTCGACTTTTAGCACTTCGCCTTTTTGACACGTCGGCAAAAAGACACGTCGGCAAAATGCATTCGACATATTGACAATCGGCGAATAAGCATTCGGCAAAACGCAGTTCGGCAAATTGTCCTGTAACCATACATAAACCGCGACATCTGTGTGCGCTGATTCTACACGAGGCAGGGTGTTTCACTAAAAGTGTCAAAAAGTAAAAGGTCATAATGCACATAATAACAATGTTTTCTACGGAAATTTGCATACCATTTCATCCGCAATTGTTGGACATTTGAATATATAAAAACGATAGCACCGTCACTCCAACCTATTCCACATATCCGCCCCTTCTTTTGATGCACCGTTTCGGCACGTGTCCGGAGGTGCCTCACAGCCCGTTTTCATCTTCAGCGTCCAGACTGTCGGCAAAGCCTTGAATGGTGCTCTTCAGCTCCCGAAGTGATGCGACTTGAGTCTTCCTCAGCTCTGCGAGAGCTACTGACCAAAACCAGAAGTAAAACGGTGACAGATCGGGGCTTTGCGCTGGCCAGAGGCGGGCGGCGAGGCAGCTGATTTTTCGGTGCAGGAAATTCTAATCCAGCCAGTTCCTGGTGGTTACAGCCATTATAGTGGCTGTTTTTGATAACTTGTAAGGCCTTGGCTATTTCTGATGTTGAAATTAGCTTCTTGTTATCTTCAAAGACCCTCAAAAAGACCCTGACCCTTTCAACGGTTTCCGCCGAGAGGTGGGGGACCCCGTCTTTTTTGGACTGCGACCGGCATCGAAGGAACCCTTTTAAACCTCTCAAGAAGCCCTTTGAACCTTTCATAATCTGGAACGTAGCGAGGTGAGAGAATAAAACGTTTCCTGAAAAGTCGGCATACGGTTTCAATGTTTCTGATGGCACCAAATGTAAGTGTAATTTACCCCTCCTGTTGCGGTGTAAATAACCTGTTCTTGATCTGCATAAGGAAAAAAACGACTAGTAACTTTGGCCTCCTGCCCTCGCTCCGTATGAGTGTAAAATATATCTTAAATGGACAAAGCATAAATGTCCAAAAATTTGCAACCAAGCCCCGTGCGCAACCACGTGATTTGCATATTTTATATAACTTTAATAGGCATTTACTTTTTGACACTTTTAGTGAAACACCCTGTAGAACTAGCGATTAGCTAGGGCACCAGGGTGAATCCAGACTTTCAGTTTGAGGGTGGGGGGGACTCATGACCGGCCCGATCCCCGGCAGTCAAAGTTGCTGACAAATGGCGCAGCCAGGGTGAAGGCGCAGCCAAAGCTCGCAGCCAGGTGGTGAAAGGGGTGAGATCTCACCCCCGTCTCTTGTCCTTGGGGCCCATCGTCGATTCGAACTGTAATGTTATGCAGCCTGACAATTTATTACCCTTTATAAAAATCAAAAAATCATTTTGTCAGGTTTCGGAAGGCCCGTCATATGACTGAAAAACAGTTTTCCGGCCTGATAGGCCCCCTTTTAGGATTTATAGTCCCATTATAAGTTTAAGGGGGCTTAGCCAAGGCCCGAAAGAACCAATCCAAGGCCTAGGATGGCCCGTTCCAGAGCATGACAGGGCCCATCTCAGGCCTGAGAGGGCCCATTTCAAGCTTGAGAGGGCCCTGAGAGTGCCCATTTCAGGCCTGAAGTGAGAGGGGCCCATTTCAGGTTTAAAAGTGGTCATTTCAGACCTGAGAGGGCCCAGTTGCGACATGAGAGGGACCATTTTCGGGCTAAGAGGGCCCATTTCAGGTCTGAGAAGGCCTGAAAGGGCCAATTTCATGCTTAACCCTCGCCGGCACAGGCCATTTTGAGTCCTTCGACGGCACAAGGGTGGGGGGGGGGGGTTGGTACGACCCCCCCCCTCGCGTTTGGCCCCTGATCGAGCTAGAGCTTCGCGGAAAAAACGAGCGTGTTGCCCGTCACGAGAGGAAGCCGATGATACCCATTTTTAAGGTCCTAGGTCATGGGGTGACCTTCCAGGTCAGGTCAATGACCTGAAAACCGGGAAAATCGGGACATGTTAGAAAGTCGTAAAGTGTGGCTGCTATGTGGTTTTCCGGGGTGCTGATCACGAATATCGTGTTAGTTTTGATCAGAGATGATGTCTTTAAGCATTTAGACCAGGTCGGGTCAGGTCAGGTCAGGTCAACCGGTAGGGGTTGTGACGGGTATTCGTAATACGTGTCAACCGCCTCGGACAGCTTCGTAACATGTTACGAAGGCACCAAAACTACTTCGTAAATGTTCAAATGGTTGCTAAATTCGAATTCAGCTCCAAAAACTAGCCTAGAAACATGTAAAACTTGAAAAAGTGAACCGAGGTCACCCGAGGTCACCAAAGGTCAATGACCTAACCTGACCTTCAGGTGACCTTGACACCCACCCTAATGCATGGGAGCAACATCAAATCACATGTTTGAACGTTTGAAACCACGAAAAGATTGCAAACGCGCGGCTAATGCGAGCCGACATGCACCGAACCGCGATTTCGGCCAAACATGGTCACAGAAAAGAGGTCCAAGGTCATTGAGGTCAGGGTCATGAAATTTTCAGGGTAGGTGTAAAGTTGATCAATGCGAGGGTACCGAAAGTTTCGTCGCGATCGGCCGCTTTTTACGCGAGTAATTCGCGAAAAACCTTAGGGGGGGGGGTTGCATCAAACCCCCCCCCCTGTGCCGGCGAGGGTTAAGAGGGCCCAGTTCAGACCCTAGAAGGCCTGTTTGCATGGCCTGGGGGCCCCTTTCAAGCCTGAGAGGGGCCATGCAGGCCTAAGAGGGGCCATTTCAGACCTGAGAGCACCCAGTTGCGGTACCTATGAGAGAGCCCATTTTCGAAATGATAGAGGCCATTTCCGGGCTGAGAGGAACCATTTCAGGCATGACAGGGTCTATTTAAGGCTTGAGAGAGTCTATTTCAGGCCTGAGAGGGCCCATTTCAGGCATGTGAGGGCCCATTTCAGGCCTGAGAGAGAGGGCCCATTGCAAGCCTGGAGGGTCCACCTCAGGCCTGACAGGGGCCATGCAGGTCTCAGAGGGCCCAGTCAGGCCTGAGAAGGCTCATCCCAGGCATGAGAGGAGTGGGGAGTGGGGACCATCCTATGTGTGGGAGGGTCCGTGCCTGGTCTGGGTCTGAAAGGGCCTATTACAATCCTGATTGCGCTGATATCATGACTGATATGGTCAGGTCAGATCTGATCTGACCTGATAAAATGAGACAAGTTTAGTTTAAATAAAACGAGACGATTTTTTTTAAACTGACAAGTTTAAGATGAGACATCCATATTCAGTGATTATTCAAATGGCTTTGTGATTTTCCGAGAATATTCGGCAAAACAGCAACTGTTTTCGTTGCTGGTAAGGGGCCCAATTTGGTTGAGGGGGCCCACTTTGCTAGGGGGCCCATCGCGAACGTCTCTCACCCCCCTCGCCAGAGTTCTGGCTGCGCCCCTGGTTGCTGAGCGGGGGGGAGGAAGGTCCAATATGATGCCACAAAAGACATGCCTATTGCCTATAGGCATATACCTACGTATATGTATGTATTGGTATCAGCACTCAGCAGTGTGCCTCCTGAGATGTTAGTTATTTTTATCGATTCATGAAGTTGACGATTTGTTTTTTGCGGATATCTTAAAAACGGCAGCGCTCCGCGCAAGGTGTTTTTTTTAACTTAATTAATAGCTTTTAGCTTTAACTTTACCAATACCAAAACGTACCAATACATACGTATATACCTACCTATAGGCAAAAGGCGTGGCATCCTATTGGACCTTTCTCTCCCCCCCCCCCCCGCTCAGCAACTGGACTTGAGCTGCGTCCGGTGATCGGGCCGGCCATGAGTTCCCCCACCCTTAGGGATGCGGAGCTGTGGAAATTTCAGACGGCTCCGACTCCGGCTCCGGCTCCGGGTGAAATGCCGTGGCGGCTCCGGCTCCGGCCCCGAGTAAAATGGTCCGGCTCCGGCGGCTCCGGCTCCAATACTCAGTAACTATATACCTATTAAATACGGGTGGCAGAAAAAAGAAGATGGGATAATTGGTGCATGTTGCTTCTGCATTTGCACAACAAGGCTATTTTCATATTTTGAATACCGCATGTTTTACTAGCTGGAACTGCAAGTTCAAGGCAGTTCGGTTTGACAAACCGAACTTGGTCAATAATGTTTTCCTCTTTAAAAAAGGAGCCGGAGACGCCCCCTTTTTTTGACAGCTCCGGCTCCGGCTCCGGGCTTTATTGTTTCACGGCTTCGGCTCCAGCTCCGGGCAAAATATGCCGGCTCCGGCTCCAGTTCCGGCTCCGGCTCCGCACCCGGCCCTGCCTCAAACTGAAAGTCTGGAACTAATCGCTAACTAGAATCAGCGCACACGGATGTCGCAATCGCGGCTTATATGTATATGCATAGACGTCGCAGCTATAGCGACACATGCAGTGCAAATGGTAGCAGACAGCAGTAGTTTCCCTCCCCTACCAAAGTGGTGGTTTTCTACCACAGATGCTCGTCGAGGTCTGAATTTCCAAATACGCGGTAGTCAGGGGGTTCTCGTATACCTATCGCGCGCCGGTGATCCCCGAGGGCCGCTGTATCGCTCCCCACTACCCCTTACCCCGGTCCGCCGCTGCTGCATCGCTCCCCACTACCCCTTACCCCCGGTCCGCCGCTGCTGCATCGCTCCCCACTACCCCTTACCCCCGGTCCGCGGCTGCTGCATCGCTCCCCACTACCCCTTATCCGCGGTCCGCGGTTTGCACGCTCTGCCCCTCCCCCTGCCGTATCTGTGTGGACGACAGGTACCCTCCCTCCCTCTCCCTCTCCCTGCCGCCGCTCTGCCTCGCCTGTGTGAAGGAGAGCGGCTCGGAGGTAGCGCCACAGGCGTTACACACGCTCTGCTCGACCAGTGTCATGGCGAACCGCTGGTGCGGGATGCAGTGGCGCGCCGCGCACGGCTCCTCAGACACGTGCGCCGGCGCCAGGTGCACGTGCAGACGCTGCAGGATGTTCTCCTGGAGGCACACGGGGTCACAGGGTCACAGAGGGCGCACAGGGGCACACGAGGTCACAGCAGTCACACAGGGTCACTGGGAACACCCCGAGCCACCGGCAGATGTCGCTGTGAGCACCCCGAGCCACCGGTAGATGTCGCTGTGAGCACCCCGAGCCACCGGTAGATGTCGCTGTGAGCACCCCGACACGTAACTGTGCACCGCGCTCGGCGGCAGGCCAGCGCAGATCTCCGGGACGCGGACTGGGGCGGACTCGGCCTGAGGAGCAGACACGCCCCCCCCCCCTCCCTCCGGCGGCGGGGAGGGGGACAGCCGCCCGCCGGTTACCCCCCCCCCCCCGGCGGCGGAGCGTGGGTCATACAGTACACGGTTAACGGTACACCCCCGGCAATGCGGAGGGGATAGCCGCGGCGGGCGTCGTTTACTCCCCCCCCCCCCCACCGGCGGCGACCCGTTCTCAACCGTCTAGAATCCGAGAGCTGACTTCCTTATTCTGCCAAGGCCTCGATGACTCAAATGTAGCGCTATCTTTGGAAGTGGCAACCCAATAAGGAATAGATGTGATATCTGGAAGAATTTGACGACTGATGATAGCTTCCCCACATACCTTTATCAAAGAGCGGTTGAACGTAGGGTTAGCTATTCTAATCTACCAGTAAAACGCCTTTTGGGCGAAGAACGAGCGAGCGAGATAGTGAGCCCTGCACGTGCGGAAGGGCGAGAGGGTACTTCCAACGGACTTGTGCAAAGCACCCTTCTAACCGGTCGCTAGCGGTGTGCTAAATTTGAACGCAATCGGCCCAGCCGTTCCCGAGATTTGGAGGCGGCATTCTGCACGTGCGCACGTGCAAACGGGGTCCAAACTGACTTTTGCACGGCACCCTACTAACCGGTCCCCAACCGTGTACCAAATTTAAGTACAATCGGCCCAGCCGTTCTCGAGATCTGGAAACGCCCCCTGCACGTGCGCACGTGCAGTAGCACCCTAACCGCAACACATGGGAATGCATTGCCTGGTGGGTGCCTACCTGTATGCCAAGTTTCAGCGAAATCGCCCCAGTAATTATCGAGTTACTGAAATGGGAACAAATTTGGCACCTCTTCTTTTTGCATTTTGCACGTGCAGTGGGGGTCACTTACATAGATCAATAGTATCCGACCTTTGGTAAAAGGGATGCAGCCACCCTACAAAAACTACCGTAAGACAATCTCCCAAGCCGCTGCTGAGATATGGGCATCTCAAAATCACTACTTTTGCAAAACTGTTTGAGCACCCTTGACTTTTCACGTGGCACGTGCCACGACGGTCATTGAGATGTATCAAAAGTAATCAATTACGGGGTAGAATGGGGCTACCCAGCAAAAAAGACCGCAGGTCAATCGATCCAGCGGTTGCTGAGATATAAGCCTCTCAAAAGCGTTACAGGCCGGGCCGGGCCGGGCCGCTCATACTGAGATTTTTCCGTTGTATTGAAAAAACTTCGCTTCGCTCGCTGCGCTCGCTTGCTCGTAATCACGTATTTTGCATGCATATATGTGTACAAATGCATCACAATGCACCTATCACATCATATGCTTATGCAACCCCACATCTAATGCGTTAAGATCGCAGTCAGCTCAGCGGAAAAGCACCCGGCCGGGGTAGGATTCGAACCCGCGCCACTCACGAAGCACTCGGCGGCGTCGTCCATGCAGCCCAGCTGGAAGCGGCGCTGGTCGAAGAAGGTGTCGGCGAGGGCGCGGCGCAGCGCATCTGGGTGCAGCACGGGCCGGTCACTGTGCTGGAACTGCTGGAACAACTCCTGGAACAGAGAGGCGGCGCAGAGTCAGCCGCTGGAACAGCGGGACGGGACAGAGTCAGGGACAGCTCGCACAGAGTCGGGGACAGCTGCTGGAACGGGTCGGGCCGGCCCGGCCCAGCGGCGCACGGTACGGCTGCTGCAGTACGCGGCGGCCGGTGCAGCGGCGCATAGACCATTGCCGGGAACAGAGTCGGCCCTGGACTCCGGGCGTCGCCGCCGACCCATCTCCTATGCATTTCATCCTCTTCGAAATGAGGCATTTTATCGTAACTAGCCAACAACGGCCCTGTAATGCGCTACCGTCAAATCTACAGCGCAATAAGAATAACGGTTAGACCAGAAACACGCGGACACATTAGCTGCGTAAGACCAGGCTCCCTCCATCTGCTAACAGTTGGCACTGAGACAACTGCGGCGCACGGGCCCAATATGCCGGCGCAGGCTACGCGCGGATGCCGCGCCACTATCTGATATATCTGCTGCATCTGCTGCGCCATTGTCTGAGCTCTCCGAGATCACGGGCGGCCTGGCGACTGGCGGCCCATTTACCGGAGCCCCAGCGCCGCCCGTCCGTCCGTCCGTCCGTCCGCCCGCCCGTCCGTCCACCCGTCCGTCCGTCCGTCCGCCAGTCAGTCCGTCCGTCCGTCCGTCCGTCCGTCCGCCCGTCCGTCCGTCCGTCCGTCCGTCCGCCCGTCCGTCCGTCCGTCCGTCCGTCCGTGCAGCTGGGCCGCGGCTATCCCGCGCGGCGTAATCGGTTCGACACGGTCCGGGCCGGGCAGGTAACTGGGGTAACGGGGCAGGTAACTGGGGTAACTGGGCAGGTAACTGGGGTACCTAACTGGTCAGGTAACTGGGGTAACTGGGCAGGTAACTGGGGTAACTGGGCAGGTAACTGGGGTAACGGGGCAGGTAGCTGGGGTAACTGGGCAGGTAACTGGGGTAACTGGGTAGGTAACTGGGGTAACGGGGCAGGTAGCTGGGGTAACTGGGCAGGTAACTGGGGTAACTGGGCATGTAACTGGGGTAACTGGGCAGGTAACTGGGGTAACTGGGCAGGTAACTGGGGTAACTGGGTAGGTAACTGGGGTAACGGGGCAGGTAACTGGGGTAACGGGGGTAACTGGGCAGGTAACTGGGGTGGGCCGGCTGACCCGGTAGGCAGAGGGGAGAGAGAGAGAGAGAGAGGGAGAGAGAGAGAGAGAGAGAGAGAGAGAGAGAGAGAGAGAGAGAGAGAGAGAGAGAGAGAGAGAGAGAGAGAGAGAGAGAGAGAGAGAGAGAGAGAGAGAGAGAGAGAGAGCACAAACGGAAGATGCGAGTTGTGATTGGACGGTCACGTAAGGAGTAGTGACAAGGAAGGAAATGAAAGCAGCAGAGAGAAAGAAAAGGAAATAGAGGCGACCGCAAGACAGGAAAATGAAGAAATGTAGAACCAGCAGATGCAGGAAAGTGGGAGGCAGAGGAAAGGCAGTAAGAAGCGGGAGACCAGAAGACACCTTTCCATGCTTCTATCCTCAGGATACTGAAATCCTTCTCCTCCACGCCGCAACCCCCCTCCGGGCTGGACAGGCAACTTTATCTCATGCGGGCTGCTCCCTTGGAGCGGCACCGCTGCTCCTGAGGGAGCGCACCCCGTAGCCGGGTGCAGTGAGTGCCTTGGGGCTGGGTGGCCTGTCCTGTGGACGGGCTCAGCCCCGGCGACTCACTAGGGTGCCTGCCCAGACCAATGTCTCCCCCTAATTCCTATCATCCTTCCGGCTCTGCAATGGTCTTGTCGACCGAAAGGGCCTAACCCAACAAAACAAACAAAAAAAAGACCTCCCGGCGGAGCTGTCACCGCTAGCCTCCCGGCGGAGCTGTCACCGCTAGCCTCCCGGCGGAGCTGTCACCGCTAGTCTCCCGGCGGAGCTGTCACCGCTAGCCTCCCGGCGGAGCTGTCACCGCTAGCCTCCCGGCGGAGCTGTCACCGCTAGCCTCCCGGCGGAGCTGTCACCGCTAGCCTCCCGGCGGAGCTGTCACCGCTAGCCTCCCGGCGGAGCTGTCACCGCTAGCCTCCCGGCGGAGCTGTCACCGCTAGCCTCCCGGCGGAGCTGTCACCGCTAGCCTCCCGGCGGAGCTGTCACCGCTAGCCTCCCGGCGGAGCTGTCACCGCTAGCCTCCCGGCGGAGCTGTCACCGCTAGCCTCCCGGCGGAGCTGTCACCGCTAGCCTCCCGGCGGAGCTGTCACCGCTAGCCTCCCGGCGGAGCTGTCACCGCTAGCCTCCCGGCGGAGCTGTCACCGCTAGCCTCCCGGCGGAGCTGTCACCGCTAGCCTCCCGGCGAGAGAGTCACTGTGACACACTGTGACGTCAAGAACACTACCACTGCGCGACGTCTTTTTTTGTTGGGTTAGGCCCTTTCCATTTCAGAGCCGGGAGGATGATAGGATATAGGGGGAGACATTGGTCTGGGCAGGCATCCTAGTGAGTCACCGGGGCTGAGCCCATCCAGAGGACAGGCCACCCAGCCCCAAAGTACTCACTGCACCCGGCTACGGGGTGCGCTCCCTCGGGAGCAGCGGTGCCGCTCCAAGGGAGCAGCCCGCATGAGATAAAGTTGCCTGTCCACTGTCCAGTCCGGTTGCGGCGTGGAGGAAAGGGATTTCTGTATCCGGAGGATAGAAGCACGGAACGGTGACGGCTGCGACGTCAGCAGAGTGCGGAAGTGCTCGCCGGGAACCGGTCGGGTGGGGGGAGGGGGTAGGAGCGGGTCACACCGGTCAGGCGGCTGCAGACTGGGGCCGCCGGCCGCTTGGTGGCCGGTTTTCAGGGTGTAATTTCCACACTCGCAGTGTATCCGCGGGGAGTTTCGGAGAGCTAGTTCAGAGAGCGGCACCCCGCTCCGTGCTGGCGCCGTTCGAGGAGCGGTGCGCGCTGCGCGCCCGCCAGCATCCCGTGACCTGACCATATCTCTGGCTCAGTGGTGCGCTCAGTAGCTGCCGTCACAGACCGAGTTACGGCGGCTGACCAGTGGCGGCGGCCCGCAGATCTATCTCTGCCCGGCGGCATCAGCCGCAACAAATACACACGGCACTGGGCAGCATCGTAAACGGCAAACGGCAGCGACCCGACCGACCGACTCGCCAGAGCCGACCCAGCAGCCGACTGACTGACGGACGGACGGACTGACGGACTGACGGACGGACGGACTGACTGACGGACTGACTGACTGACTGACTGACTGGCTGACTGACTGACTGACAGCCTCTAACATAGCACTCAGCAAAGTCGCCGAGTGGTCAGATTTTGTGCTTTTATGGGGCATTCACCACTCATCAGAAGCCGCTCCGATGGACACTCCGTGTTTTGAAGACTCCGTGTTTTGAAACGAGATTGATTGCAACGACACATACGGTGTCGGTCCTGGGGCACCCCTGAGTGCTTCCCCAAATGGGTCAGCACCCCCCCCCCCCCGCGTTATCTGAGCCGCCCAGCGGCACCCCTGAGGAGAGGCGCCCTCACGGTGCCTCCCCGTATGGTGTCCGCGGCGCTCGCGGCCCCAGCCGAGCACCCCCGGCGCCGGGCACCACCCCGACGGCACCTGGACAGCGCCGCGCCGCCCGGCGCCGCCCGCGCACCCCCGACCTCTCCGTGGCCGGCAGACGGCCGGGCTGAGCTGCGGCTGAGCTGCAGTGTTCCCCCGACCTCTCCGTGGCCGGCAGACGGCCGGGCTGAGCTGCATGCAGACGGCCGAGCGGCCGCTCCGCGCCTCTGCCCGGCCGCTCCGCGCTCTCTCCCCTCGGCGGGCTGTCGGCCGGCTGATGACCCGTAAACTGCAGCAGGCTGCACGTGCCGCGGCGGCCGGCCGGCCGGGCTACCCGCCGGCCCGGAGCTGCCACTGAGGCCACTGAGCTGGTCTGAGCGGGACCGGTCAGAGCGGTCAGAGGAACTGAACGGTCCGGCGCCGCTGTGGCACCCCGCCGGACCGGGGCACAGTCGGACCGACCGGACCGGTAGACCATGGTGCGCCACAAACACAACGGAGACGTCTCCATCGGTACCGCCCGGCCCCGACTCGGCGTCACCCGACCAGTGTCCGTCTGTCTGCAGCTGCAGGTATACATCTGCCAGCCAGCCTGCAGCGTCCGATCGAGCCGACTGCGGCGGGATCAGGTGCCGGCCAATTCCATCACTGCCAGTTGGGACAGGCTCTCCCGAAACGTGGGCCCTGTACGCCAGCATCAAATTCATCCTGAGCCCATCCCCTGTGAAAAGCGTGTTTTGCCTGACGGTGCACCAGGGCAGTCAGCTGCGGCTGTCACCTGACAGTCAGCGGCTCACTATGAGGGGACAGTGGACAGAGGGGCAGATGGACAGTGGACAGAGGGACAGAGGGGACAGTGGACAGAGGGACAGAGGGACAGAGGACAGAGGGACAGAGGGACAGAGGACAGAGGGGCAGATGGACAGTGGACAGAGGGACAGTGGGGACAGTGGACAAAGGGACAGTGGGGACAGTGGACAGAGGGGCAGAGGGGACAGTGGACAGAGGGACAGTGGGGACAGTGGACAGAGGGGCAGAGGGGACAGTGGACAGAGGGACAGAGGGGACAGTGGACAGAGGGGACAGTGGACAGAGGGGACAGTGGACAGAGGGACAGTGGACAAAGGGACAGTGGGGACAGTGGACAGAGGGGCAGAGGGGACAGTGGACAGAGGGACAGTGGGGACAGTGGACAAAGGGACAGTGGGGACAGTGGACAGAGGGGCAGAGGGGACAGTGGACAGAGGGACAGTGGGGACAGTGGACAGAGGGGCAGAGGGGACAGTGGACAGAGGGACAGTGGGGACAGTGGACAGAGGGGCAGAGGGGACAGTGGACAGAGGGACAGAGGGGACAGTGGACAGAGGGACAGAGGGACAGTGGACAGAGGGGCAGATGGACAGAGGACAGAGGGGCAGATGGACAGTGGACAGAGGGACAGAGGGACAGTGGACAAAGGGACAGTGGGGACAGTGGACAGA